AACTGTTTTTCCTAGTGTACCAACTTGCCTTAGGCCTTGGCCCAACTGACCCCCCGCCGCGGGGTAAGTTGGGACATTGGAGGATGGCCGCTTTGATCAGATATGACACCAAGACGATGCTACCATCTCTCTTATATTAAGTCTTCTTTAAAAGATAAAGAAATCAGATCTCAGTTAATAGCCAACAAATAATGATGTATAGTTATACCGAAGTTATGACGCTTCAAGCAATAACTGGCTCAACTAGCGTTAGCGGAATGACGCAAAATTAGCAGGTGACCAGTGACCACTCCCAGTTCGCTAATATGTTTGCATCATTAACATACCTTCCACTATAAGCACGGTTTCTCAATCTTAACATAAAATATAACATCTTTTCATGTAATTTGCATCTCTAATATACCCCAGTCAAACTTGCATCACTAATGTAGTGGGGGACTTCTTGGGAAGAATTAGTTTCTAGGGACTTACACATTTATGCTCATTTCCCCACATTTGTCGCCAGGGGGAGAATTCCCCAGAATTTTCCGCTAGGAGTGGCTGAGCCCTATGGTGAATTCAAAATACGCGTGCGCACCGCTCCGAGCCACTGTCAGCTGGCTGCACAGATAGTTACAGCTGCCAGCTTCACGGCAGCCCGATCACCGCACCGCAGAGCTGCCAGTTTCGCCACTGCAGTTCGGCCGGCGCGACCGCTAGAGCGTCTGAATTCGAGACCGCCAAGGTGACCTCACACCGTTGGGCCGACCACACCACTCGATTTGGTCACGGACAGCCGAGTCGGCCGTCTCACACGGCACCCGATCGGGACGGCCGCTTCAGATTGCCTACGAGCACATCATACCAGAACTGAAACAATCCACAGACCTTCACTGTTCTTGCAAGATAGCACAGTCCGTCCCGAGGCGCGCCGCTCACGGACCACCGCACAGGAGCCACTGAAGGAGGCAGGCGTCAACACGAGGGCCAAAGCCAGGAAAACTTAAGTCCAGGGGCGGATCCAAGGGGGGGGGGGGGTCACATGGGTCATGCCCCCCCCCTTGAGGCCCGGGGGCCCAAAGACCTACCAGGGGCACCACCGGCCTATCAGGGGTATCACAGTCCTGACAGGGGCACCACAGGACCGCCAGGGGCACCACAGGCCTAGCAGGGACACCACGGGCCTGGTGCCCCTGGGCCCTGACAGGACTGTAACGCCCCTGACAAGCCTGAAGTGTCCCCGGTAGGCACGTGGTGCCCCTGATAGGCCTGAGGCGCCCCTGCAAGGGCGGTGGTGCCCCTGGCAGGCCTGTGGTGTCCATGGCAGGCCTGTGGTGCCCTTGCTAGGCCTCTGGTGCCCCTGACAGGCTTGTAATGCCCCTGGAAGGACTGTGGTGCCCCTGGGCCCTGACAAGCCTGAGGTGCCCCTGACAGGCCAGTGGTGCCCTTGCTAGGCCTGTGGTGCCCCTGGCAGGCCTCTGGTGCCCCTGACAGGCTTGCGGTGCCCTTGGAAGGACTGTGGTGTCCCTGGGCCCTGACAAGCCTGAGGTGTCCCTGACAGGCCCGTGGTGCCCTTGTTAGGCCTGTGGTGCCCCTGGCAGGCCTCTGGTGCCCTTGCTAGGCCGCTGGTGCCCCTGGCAGGCCTCTGGTGCCCTTGCTAGGCCGCTGGTACCCCTGCGCCCGGAGAGGACTGGTGCCCCTGAAAAGTCTGAAGTGCCCCTCGGCAGGCCCGTGGTGCCCCTGACAGGCCCAAGGTGCCCCTGCGAGGCCGGTGGTGCCCCTGGCAGACCTCTGGTGCCCCTGGCAGGTCTGTGGTGCCCCTGGCAGGTCTGTGGCGCCCCTGGCAGACCTGTGTTGACTGGTGCCCCTGCTAGGTCGCTGGTGCCCCTCACAGACCTGTGGTGCCCCTGGGCCTTGACAAGCATGAGATGCCTGGCTATGACAGGCTCGTGGTGCCCCTGATAGACCAGTGGTGCCCTTGCTAGGCCTGTAGTGCCCCTGGCAGGCCTCTGGTGCCCCTGCTACCCCTGCGCCCGGAGAGGACTATGGTGCCCCTGAAAAGCCTGAAGTGCCTCTCAGTCTCGACAGGCCCGTGGTGCCCCTGGGCCCTGACAGGCCCAAGTTACCCCTGCGAGGTCGGTGGTGCTCCTGGCAGACCTCTGGTGCCCCTTGCAGGTCTGTAGTGCCCCTGGCAGGCCTGTGTTGACTGGTGCCCCTGCTAGGCCGCTGGTGCCCCTCACAGGCCTGCGGTGCCCCTGGAAGGACTGTGGTGCCCCTGCCCCTAGGGGTGCTCATGGGCCCAACAGGTCCGTTGTGCCCCTGACAGGCCTGTCGTGTATACTTGCTAGACCTGTGGTGCCCCTACTTCCTGGCAGGCCTGTGGTGCCCCTGGCGGGCCTGTGGCGCCCCTACAAGGCCGTAGGTGCCCCTGAAAGGTTTGTGGTGTCCCTTAAAGGACTTTGGTGCCCCTGACAAGCCTGAAGTGTCAAGGACAGACCCTTTAGACGCCAGGGTCAAGTTCGTCGGACTGACAACGATTTGCTTACCTGATAACGTTCCTGGTAAGTACTCACTACTCAGCGTCCACAACATATATACACATAGCATCTATGCACATAGCACATTCATATATACTTGCTTACAATTGGTAAATGTGGTTGTGGCTAAGAGTTAAGATACTGACTAAAAATAAAAAAGAAGAAAAAAAACTGAAAATGGGGGCACCACCAAAATGAAGTGGACGAAATCCGTTGAGTTTTTAATTTTGGGTATAGGTAGGGGCACCAATTCGATTCATGACCCTCCCCTTGGAGGTTTCCTGGATCCGCCCCTGAACTTAACGCCCTTCTGCATCAACATTCAGGGAAAGGTCGGCAGTTCAGTTACTCTATCATACAACTCATTGAGTGCACAATACTGCGAGAAAGAGATAATACGTTGTAAGCGCAACTGTCATGAGGTTTGAGGAGGATTCCAAAAGAGTTAAAGTCATGCTGCTCAGTGCTCATAAGATATGGAGGCCCAGCGATTACGCAGGTGATCTGTGTGGTGGAGCAGCATTTGTACGAGCATATTCGTCTTTGCACGAACATTTTGAGGAAAGTGAGAGTCCTAACGAAAAGTCGTGACCCTCCTCAGCTTGCATCGCCTGGTGTGTCTTCGGAGGCAGCGGTTCCATCCGAACAGAAGCGCGGTTTGGGGAAAGGGGCATCACGAAAAAGTCGTGCAACACGTCCTAAACGAGCTGTCAAAACAGCTGACAGCCAAACTGATCAGAGATCTTGACTTCGCCATAGTCAAAGGTCCAAACGATTACAGAGAGCCACGAGCACGCTTCACTGTATCTTTCAACAGGATAGAATTAAGTACCTACGGCAACAGTAAACATGAAAACATTTTCGAAAATTATGGTGACATAAGAATATGAGAATGTCTGAAAAACGTATGCAAAGGCACATGTCTAGCCAGTAGCATGCATCGAAGTTCAGGCGACATTGACACACCTCTCTAGTCTTTTGCCGCCAATCGGCCAACGCAGTTCCCGATTGGGGGCATTGCAATGCCGGCATCGGCGATGAGACACCCATTAACATGGCGCATCATTCCAAGGAGAGCTCAGCTCTGTGACCCTTTTCGGCCGAGCTGGTTCACACGACTATGTAACTATGTTAGAATTGTTAGAATTGTTATGTTAGAATTGACTATGACTATGTTAGAATTGCAGCCAGAAGGCGGCGAGAAGCCAGAGGCCGGAGGGCGCCGAGAGGCTCGCCGGTCGCGGCCGAGGGTGGAATGTCGACAGCACCTATCGGCATTCGGTACACAACCGCCCGGCGTCGCCGCGATACGCTATCGGCGGGCCTCACCTGAGGACACCGGCGTATGTGCATATACCCCGCGTGCCGAGACGCCGGGGCTCTGCGAGCGGCGCCCCTGTCCGCCCCGCCCACCACCCACAGTACAGAGACACCCGAGAGGGGCAGGGCAGCTGGGAGACAACAGCGTTCCAAATGGCCGTCAGTCCACCGCACAGGGATCCCAGAGAAAGGGACACCTAAACGGCCACCAGTCCACCGCACAGGAACCCCAGAGAAATGGACATCTCAGAGAGACCAGACCCGGCACGGCGTCCCAGCGGGCCGCCAGTCAGTCCACCCTGTCTCTGTCCAGAGAACGAGGGGCACAGCGGAGAGACCGGATCAGGGTCCGGAACAGCGTTTCGACGGTCAGTTCGTCCAACGCATCCTACATACCTACCACCGTCACACCTCGCTGGCCAAACGAAGGGATACATCCGACCACAGCAGATCGTCCCCCAGGATCCCGCTGTATCTGGGTTTAAAATGCATCACTCGATACTGCAGGTTCTCGGGACAAAGCTCCCGTGAGCCGCATCCAGGTGCCGAGATGGCCGCGTCGTTCGGTAGTCGGGCGATCCCCGCCCGTTCCCCTGACGGGCTCTCAGCCAGCCTGTGACCGGGCCGGGGCCGGGGCCGATACCCGGCACGGGCCGACCCCGGCCTGAGCGCGGCTAACGGGCCAGGCCGGGCCGTCCGACGGCGTCTGACCCCGCCGGGCGTGACGTCACAGCCCACCTACCGACAGACACACAGGTACGGGGGCGGCCGGCGCTCCCAACCTACCTGCCGGGGCGGTACGGCACAGCGCGCTCCAGGCAGCTGCCGCTCCAGGTGTCGGGTCAGTTCGGATCCGATCGGGGCAGAGTCTCACCACACGTCCGCGCGCGCTCGCCTCTCGGAACACTGGCGAGCAGCGACCGGCCGCCGCCCGAACCCACGTAAAAACTCACCCATGTAGACACCAATGACCAAAGGCCGTCGCACGTTGGGCGCAACTTATTTTGGCGACACCAAATTAACAATGCAATAAAGAAGACAGCTCTATAAGGCGATCAAGACACCTTTGGACAATCTTAAACCGAAAACGGAATCTGCCGACACAGCGCGCTTCTCTCGTAGCGACCCAAAGGTCACGGGACGCCAACATTAGGCGCCGCTTACCTCTGCGGCGTTAGACCTTGACAAGGCTGCGGGTAGGCCTCTGTGGAAGCCGCGCCGGCGCTCGTCGCCCCCTCTGGTGGCGGCGCGGCCAACTAGTGGCCTTGCCTGCCAGCCGCGGGGAACTGCGAGGAGCGCGCGGCGGCGGTCGGCGCGCGTCGATCACAGGCGCCGCAGCCAGCGCCGCAGCCCCGCCGGTACACGGCAGTGGCTGTCTGCTGCCGGGACCACTGCAAGCAGAGCACATGCCAGCGTCAGTGCGGCACTCCAGGTTTATGGGCCGAAACTCTGCGATGAACACAAGCGACATCACGGGTAACAAGTCTCGTCCAGTATCCTCTCAAGCCGAGCTCAAACACCTCGACATGCTGATATTCTTAGACGGCAAACAATAGAAGATGTTGAGCTGTGAGCTCGGCATCAAACACCCCCAGTCCCCAACTCTATCGTGTTGACCTAGGGTGACACTCGCTTGCTGTAGTTATGACTCTGTAGCCAAACAATCGCTGAAACCCAAAGAGGCCGAGAGCACCGCTCTCAAGTCAAACTCTCAGCTTGTAACAGTGTCTCTCGGATGTGCACCAAGCGTTTACGTCGCACCTTCTGACTGCGTGACAGCCTTATCTGTCCTGACAGTCCTGGATTCGACCGACCCCCTCCACTGAGCCGACAGCCCCGGAGAATGCGGCGCAGGGTCAGGGTTCGAGTGGGGCTCGGTCGGAGCGCCCGGCGGGCCCCGACGGGCGCTCTGTCAATAGCGGTTCAGTGCGACAGAACCGACACCTCCCTGTCCCACGCTGCCGAGGACGAAAGACGCCAAAGGCAGCGAGTCGTGTACGACGCGGCGCCGGCACTGGAAAGGCTGGGGCGGAGATCACACTGCGCCACCGTTTGACCGGTACTCCGGGGCGGTGCCCGTATAGACTGCTGGGTTCCACGGGCCCCGCCCAGACACGGCCAGACTGCTGGGTTCCTCGGGCCCCGCTCAGACGCGGCCAAGGTTCCTCGGACCCCGCCCAGACATGGTCAGACTGCTGGGCACCGCGGACCCCGCCCACTACCCAGACGCGGCCAGGGTTCCGTGGGCCCCGGCCAGACACCGCCAGACTGCTGGGTTCCGCGGGCCCCGCCCAGACACGGCCAGACTGCTGGGTTCCTCGGGCCCCGCCCAGACACGGTCAGACTGCTGGGTTCCTCGGGCCCCGCCCAGACACGGCCAGACTGCTGGGTTCCTCGGGCCCCGCCCAGACACGGCCAGACTGCTGGGTTCCGTGGGGCCCGCCCAGGCAGGGTGATACCACTGCGAGTGCCGAGTCCACAGCACTATCGTCGAGGAATGTCGGCGCCGCGGCGATCGGGAGCCGGCCTCCAAGCCGGCACTACCGATCACATTCCGGACCGACGATAGCGCAGCAGTCAGTCGGCGAGGTAGACCGATAGCGGCAAATACCAGCCCGAACCGACAATGGGTAAACCGGCGAGCAGCAGCGTGTCAAATACCGACCGAAACGATGGCGGACCAAACTTCCGTGATCTGAGCCTCACGCATAACTGGCACGGCAGTGTAAGCTGATCAACAATGTCATTGAGTATTGGCCCTACGCGAGCCAGAATCACCGTTGGCATGAAGTGCTAACGACAACTAGGATTAGCCCTCTGAATGTTTGCAAGTGGGGTCACAACTCACAACTAGGACATCCTATCATATCATCACCAAATATGCTGCTATCAACGAAGCCCAAAGAGCCCATATGTAAATACAGACTAGCTGAGCAATGTTGAGTGGCCGATGCCTGCAGCGCTGGCTGCGGCAGAATGGGCAGCGGGGGCGGCCGGACATCAACGCACCGCGGTTGACCGGGGCTGTCCCGAGAGCTGAGACCCGTGCCGTCCTGGTCGACCGGGCTGCCCCGAGAGCTGAGACCCGTGCCGTCCTGGTCGACCGGGCTGTCCCTAGACAAACACAAACACGCGACGTGTCGATGCGCCTCCAATTATAGAATGTGCCGAGTGTCAGTTTACAGCCGCCTGCGATTGGATCGAAATTCATCATCAGAGGATAGAACCACCCGCCTCACCTGGAAGGTCACCCGATGACCTAGGACCTTAAAATTGGGTATCATCGGCTTCCTCTCGTGGCGGGCAACACGCTTGTTTTTTCCGCGAAGCTCTAGCTCGATCAGGGGTCAAACGCAAAGGGGGGGGGGGGTCGTACCAACAACCGACGCGCCCTTGTGCCGTCGTAGGACGCAAAATGGCCTGTGCCAGCGAGGGTTAAGTTTACACTCGATCACACATGCAGATGTACGAGTAAGGACAGGATTACTCTTATCACTATACCAAACTATACACTTTTATAAATGTATAAAGATAAATTATAATCAACAACAATAAGTATCTTCATCAACAGCAACCAATAACCAGCACTAATGTGACGCTCGTCGCAAAGGCGCACACACACGTCCAAAGACGAACGTACAGCGTCCACCCGGGCCACGTCACCTGATATCGGTGCCCGCGCGATCCACACGGGTGGGGAGCGGGCGTCCACCCGGGGCCGTCCACCCGGCGCGGCCGGACGGTGGACGCCGTGGACTGTGGACGCCGGGCGGGCGGACGGGCGGCGGTGGTCGGCATGAGGGCGGTGAGCTGTCCCTCAGCCGTTCTGCTCAGGACCTGTGGACGTGGACCAGAGGAGTGCGCTCAGATCGGGATCAGACTGGACACTGGACAGGACCGGGGGTAACACAGACCAGAGGAGTGCACTCAGATCGGGATCAGACTGGACACTGGGCAGGACCGGGGGTAACACAGACCAGAGGAGTGCGCTCAGATCGGGATCAGACTGGACAGGACTGGGGGTAACACAGACCAGAGGAGTGCACTCAGATCGGGATCAGACTGGACACTGGGCAGGACCGGGGGTAACACAGACCAGAGGAGTGCGCTCAGATCGGGATGAGGTCGGACGAGGGGTAAGGCCAGGTGTAGGATAGACTCAAGTGTACCTACTGGGCAGTGGGCACTCAGCTATGGATGCAGTCAGCCAAAGGACAGGGACAGGCACGGACGCGAGACGCAGGCAAACGGATATATAATTAGGGATATTTTGTGGTGTATTCAAACAATCAGAAATGTTCCAAACTCCCATGGCTGTTTTCCATCCTTTTCTTTCTACTCTTCTCTATCTCCAAGATAATGCATAATTGCATAGTGCACACTCTATGGATCAAAAAGTCGAAAATTGCAATAACATATGCGCATGAAAACGGATACAATGGGGACGCACTTACAAATGTCACAACCAAGAACTTCTGCCGTAAATAAATGTTTAAGAACCTAACCATGAACCAATGCAGGGCTGGAGGCACCTTATAACAATCAGCTCCAACGAAACAGATCCCCGACACGTGCGACACCGGGACGGGTCCCCCAGCCACAGCCCGAGCCGGACCTGACGCTTGTGCGCAGAAAGGCGTACAGTAAGCGGGACAGACATTCCGTCCGCGCCACGGTAAGTGCATTTCAAAGTACACACCCGACGACAGAACACGGGTGGACTTTCCTCATAAGTCGCATGCCGCGCGGACTTGAAAGCGGGCCGAGTAAAATTGTGGCCGGCCGCCCCGACTGGACGTCACACTGACGTCGTACGTTGGCTACACACCGCGGCGGCCGGCCAGGCACACATTGGATTGCCGGTGCGCTTTGTAGATGGGAAGGGGGCTGCGGCTGTACTGCAGTAACGCCAGACCCCTTGAGACCCTAATTTTTCGCGATTATTTTTAAATGCGTGGAATAATTTCAACCATATTTAGGAAGTAGCTGTTTCAAGACCTGCCGAAACTTTTTTTTTCAAATACATTTTGTTGTCACTTAAATATTTGTGACACTTGTCATTGACTCGTAATGTTAACTGTTTTTCCATCCTGGATAGAGGCTTCCATACGTCATATGACATTAGGCTCCGCCCACGACTGCGGCATTGACCCGTGCCCATCAGCGACCTCTGTACAAACGACACCCCTGCCATCTGTAAAGGACCATGAATTTCGCTGACGCTTCACGTGCTATGAATCAATTGCAGCAGACGGTCAAGTAAATGTTAGGTTCTTGTTGACTCTTGTATATAGGACCAAGAGGACCATCACTCCTCAACCTACTACTCACACGTGCTTCGAACAAACGTTAACGATTCCTTACAAATACGATTTTCGATGTAGGATATCTGTTTGAAATACGAGCGAGTCTTATGATGTGAAGCGAAGGCAATTAACATATTATTGCGGTGTTCGATGATTGCATAGCGATGTACAAATCGCCAGCTACTTGGTGACATCCGACATCCCATTTGTTACTTGTTGTCAGCGACTCAGCCCCTGTTGTTTATTGTTAGATGTAAGCGCGCCCGCTATTCTGGCCGCCGCTCGTGACGTCACTCACTGACCGGGCGGTATGGCGGCCCGAGCGGTGTGTGCCGGCCGGCCGATAGCCCGGGGCGCGGCCCAGCCGACCTCGGAGGCGGCCGCGCCGGACGGAGACCAGTCGCGCTCGGAACGCCACCCCGTAGGTACGGCCTAGATTGCCGACCCTTGCACACGGGCTCTGACGGGACGACGCGTCTCTGGTGACGGGTGGGTTCGGACTCGCTGCCGACTCAGTGCACCCCGACACCACACCAGACGGAGTCATCCGCGGGTGACTCCATTGCACTCTGGTGTCCGTCCAAATTAACTTGTCCCCCACAAACTTATAATCTGGGCATATCGAACATATCTGGGCATATCGATCTTGATTATTGGGCATTATAGTTCCTCGTTGTGCATTGTTAATTTTTGGCACCGTATATCTTGTTCTTCTCTACCGTTGTGCTCACGGTGAATACAATTAACTCGTGTCATATTGCATCTGGGAGAGGGCCTCGACCGGCCTAGCGGCCGTCATACCATATCTATTATCTAACGTAATTCGGCCAACGTTTTTTTCAGACACAGTAGGTACACATACAGTCCACTTACCAGCCAGAATATCTCAACATAGTCCTCCGGGCCGGATAACTGTATCCTATGGTTTAGCTTTGTCTTATCGGATATCGTTTTCTCCTATTACCAATTGCGTAGCATTTCAAATCCTTTGGTCTAGGTTTGTTGTTTCGGTTATCATTTTCCATTACCATATCGAATAGCGGAGCCATGTCGGAGGCACAAAAGGTCGAGCCTGTGGGCCGGCC